AAATTCTCTAGAGAGAGATGTACTTAGAAACCGAGAGTTTCGCTGCCATTTTCGACCGCCCGTTGGTCATTTATGGCCTTCCATCCATTCCCCGCAGTAGGGATCTCTCTCCCGATGTCATCGATCATCACCTTCGACTTGTTCATGCTCTAAGGAGCAATTGGGGCCTGTACGCTTGAGTGAAGTGTCTTCTTGTCGGTCGACAGGGGGAAGATCGGTGTTACTCGGTCTGAAAGGTGCTCCAAGGAGGACAGTGATTCGAGGGGATGGGCGGTGGCGGTGGCTGGGGTCTTGGCTTGGCTTAGACCCGATGTCTTATGAGATCCGTCGACATTGGCTTACTGACATCAAAATCCATTCAAGCTGTGCATGCGATAGCTTTCTTTTCATTTTGTGTATAGATTTAGTGTACGTTCGAAATCATCTTCGGATTGATTGTAAACTGACTTCGTCATTTTGAATAGCAAAGCCACAAAGAACTCCTCAGCTTCTTTTCAACATGGTCTCTCCTGTTGAAAATATGTCTCGAGTTTGAGCCCGAAGCGAAAATCTAAATTTTAGATTAAAAAAAAAAAGAATCCAAGGCCAAGTTTTGAAAATTAGCTACTGGAATCCGGCCAGAGAAAAGTCAAAAGAGGAAAGTCCAAACTTTGACTGATTGACCGAATAACATGATTTCCTAATCCATGTTGACGTGGGCTTCTGAAGGTGTTTTCTTTTGGCTATAAATATATTCAGTGGGCACTTTGGGCGGTGGTTGTTGATGAACACGTGAAGTTATTCTTGAAGTGCCGCTTGTGTGCTAGTACTTGGTGGTGGGCAATTTTCGTGATTTTGTTCATGGAATCACACCAAAAATTTAAGTATTTGTAGCGATTAAATCTTGTGATAAGATTTGTGTAAAATTCCTTCACAAGATTGAGAAATTATTTTGTGAGGAATTATGAGGTTAAACACTGCATTAGCTATTGGGTGTAATTTGAGCTTGAGAAATATTAAGAGTGTTTGAGTGACTCGAGTGTGGTTGTAATCTCCGTTGTATTGCTTGATCTACAGTGGAATTCTGTACTGCTCTTCCCGTGAACGTAGGTCACTACGACCAAATCACGTAAATCTGGTATCTGATTTATTTTCTTGTTATGTTAAGTTTAATGTTCGATCGCTTGGCTTCCGTAACATCTCCCAACATCTTCCGATGCTTAATTTTCATTCGACGGACATATTAGTCCACATGCTCTCCAAAGATTATTCAAAAGATAGATGGTGTACCAGTAATCTTTGGGAAGCCACTTCGTTGACTGCGGGTTTTGCCGAAACTAGGCAACTTCCCTTAGCGCCTTCCATGAACGAATCTCTCATCTCATTCCACGTGCTACAAGTTCGACCATTGCCCTATGCGTCGTCTAGCATGAGGAAAAATTTCTTACCAATAACTATCGCAAATGGGTTTGCAATTGCTCAAAGTCCAAGGTATCCGATAGTGACTGAAACTCTAATCAAACCTTGACCGATGGTGTCTCTCGAGACTTTTGCAAGAATTTTCTTTAGATCAAAATCATTGGAAATGCATACCCATATTCTGAAATCAAAACTGGTTCCCGGATCTTTTCGGCGTTGTACACGAGCTTAGCAAGCGATGTTTTGTCTAAACATCCCGTCCTAATTATTATGCTAGGGCATGCAATCCGAACCGGCTCAGCACACTCTCTACGATGTTAAGAAGGACCGATTTGGCCATTTTCTTTTCTTGCCATGGGAAAAACAGTAGGGGGTATCCAGCGAGCTTCATGAACCGCAAACAATGAATGCCAATCGTCCCTCGTCTTTGGCAAAAGATCATAATGGCTATACTAAAAACCGTTCCAACTAAATGGATCATTCTGTTTTATAAGCAATGGACCGAACATTACGGTTTTAATACGGCATGACTCGACCATTGGTTCTTCTAGGACATGGCTTTATGGTTATCTTTTTGTTTTCTCATGTCACGGTGAAAACCGGTTGGGCTGAATCTATGGACCGAGCCTCCTCAACCTCATTCTCGTCTTCAGGATGTCCCATTTGGGCAGTTCTGTGCACTCTAGTGAAGTCATGAAAGCAACCCAGGAGGTGCTAAACTTATGAGGAACCATAGCATACACAATCATGAGTTCAAACAAAAAATATGTGAGGGATTAAAATTGATAAAGGCTCTGAGCATAAAACAAAGATGTTATTGTCCATGCAATTAGCCTTCGTGCATTTATTTTCATAAGATTCAGTCCCAGGAGCAAAAGGAAAAGAAAAACGTAATCTTCCTATGTGGAAGAGAAGTAAAACAGAATAAAAGCGAAAAAAATATATGATTTTTTAAATGCATTATGTCTCGGAAACTCTTTAAATAATCTGGTGAAATAATCATAAAATGATCAAGCAACTAGAACTAATATACCATAAATAAGATTTGATGGTGCGGCGTGATTTCATTAACTGTCCATGAATGAAAGATATATATCGCTCTAAGGATATTCAGACAAAGATAATGCTACAGTTGGTCTCATACAACACGAATACGGTGTTCTCTCCATAGAGAAATTTGCAATACAAACACAAATAAGTGATAAAGAACTACACTTATTCAAGGGGCAGAAGAAAAAGGTACAATATCAACGGCCTTTCTTTTCATCCCTGAAAATGAAAGAGATTGAGAGAGTAGTAGCTGAGTGCACGTCCAAATGTTTGCGGAGACCCTCATGGCGTGGCAAATAGATTTGGGAGTTCATCTGCGGTCAAAAGGGAAAAATAAAAGAAATGAGCTTAGAGTATTTATGACATAATATTCTGGCACTGATTGCAGTGTCATGCGGATTAGTCATTCTTAGATTTCCTACTACGAAAATATTTTTCAGTCATTAGCAAAATTAATTTTTACATGGTTGTAAATTCCTTTGAATAGAAGCTGGTGCGGAAGGTTTTGTTTGTATAAAAACGTGTGGAAATTTTGGTTCTTATAAGTTTTCCTCAAAATTTCTGTTAAAACAAAATATCACGACTCCAAAGTGACAAAGGTACATGTGTCCAATTGATTTACTATTGATAGGTTACATCAAAATGGAGGGTCCATATATAACCTCTATCTAGTTCATTTGATGTACACAATTTGACTTTTTGTTAATTCAAAATATATGAAACTTTCACAACATGTAAATATTAGCAAGCAGATTTATACATAGATATATTTATTTTCTTAAAGTCGAATAACATTTTAAATTTTAGCGAGAAAAACAAAAACAGAAAAACCTTTTTACTTTTGCTTAATTGGGAATAAACAAGCCCTGTAACTGTTGAGTTGAGGACCTATGTATTACTATCCTATGTCACTAGCTGGCAGACCCATGCTTCGCTCGGGCCATTTTTCACGACAAATTAATTTTTTTACACATATTCAAGCCAATGAGAAAAGGGCATCATATTTTGTAGAAATATTCTTAGCCACTTAAATTCCCTCTTTTGCCATTTATGTTATATCTTAAAAAATAACATGCATGGGTGAATTGATGCATAGAAAAGTTCCAAAGGTGGCCCGGCAATTTTGGGATTTAGCTTTATGCTTTTTTGTCATATAAAGTACTATAAAAAAAAATGAAAACAGTCTAGTTATAAGAAGTTGGACCACATCACCATAAAGAATCGTGAGCATTAGACATGTGCTACTATATTGATTTTAAAAAATTAATTGAAGACATTTCGATAGTTTTTTTAATAAGATCGAGAAAATTATTTATTCTCAAATGGGAAAGTTAAATTAAAAGTGAATAGATTTCCCTATGCGTTAACTTTTCGTGCATATCAAGTTATAATAAACATCGATTTACTGGATAAATTATCTTTATTTGCGGATGTCTTTATTAAGTGTCTTGCCAACAAAGATTATCCCATATTTTTCAAAATACATTATTTTGAGTAGCAATCTTCTCATGCTCTGCACGGAACTGGATTCACGGCATAGAAATGTTGTTTTTCGTTTTATTGTTTGAGTTAAAAGTTTTAGATAGTGTTACGAATTGAGTATGTAGTTTTAAGTATAAATCCAATGTTAAATGCAAACTTCAAGGTTTTGATTAAATAGTAAATCAACTGAAGATGTACTGCTCGTTTCTTTGTGTTTAAGATATTATTTTTTTGATAAATTTGATTTGGTTAATTATTTTAAATATAACTATCTAATATTTAATTCCTTTTGCAATGTAATGACCTATTGTTGATTGTATCTTAGTAAATATTTTTTTTCCATATCATTTTTTTCTTTTTCTAAGCAGTACTTTAATTAAATTTCAATTCAATTGAAGAAATAAGTGAATCTCAATATATGGGCATGTTACATGTAAGAACAAAGAAGAAATAGATAGATCCGTACCTAATCCTCCGTCCATTGTACCTTTACACCATCAAGTTGGATTTGAGGAATGTGAGCGATTTTGGGCCAATCCTCACCAGTTGTTGGTTGACATCTCTCGCTTAGTTCACCACAATCATCGATCCATAATTTTTTGAGGGCAGTAAGGGACCGGAGTTCTTGCGGCATAGACAATAAATTGGGACATTGGATCAAGCTAATAAATTTTAGACATGGATGATTGGGCAGCCATTCCGGTACAGCCGTGAAGCTCAAGCATTTACTGACAGTGAAGGACTCCAAAGTGTGAGAAGATTCGTTAAAACATTGGAGCAGCTCCATCACCTGTTCGGACTGTACTATTGTCAACGCACGAAGATTAGAAGGAAAGTTGGACTTGTTCTCCTTGGTCAACACGAGCTCGCAATTTTGAATTTCCAAGAACTCTAGGGCGATTAGTTCCCCAAAAGGCAGAGATATTGGTCTTCCACAATCTAAAATTATCAACTGTCGAAGGCGAGTTAGTCGGCAAGCACCTTCAAACAAAACTTCGAGATTTTGGCATCCTTCAAGTGCCAAAATTTGCAGATTTTCCAGGTACTGTATTCCACTTTTTTGCAGACTCTTCTGCTTTGTTGTTATGGATAGAAATGTAAGGTTGACGAGCCTCTTCATATTTTTGGGTAGATCGCCAAGCTCTGAGCAACCATTGAGGGACAAGTGTTGTAAACTCTGCAGCTCACAAATGGTATCTGGAAGCTTCTTCAATCGCTTGTTGTCATGGAGTAATAACGTCCTCAAGTGCTTCAAGTTGCATATGGAACTCGGCAGCTCCTCAAAACTACCAGTCGCCAAATCCAGATACCGTAAGTGGTTACACTTAGAGATGCATGTTCTAACAAACTCTCTAGTAATAACTTCATCATCAATGATGGAGGCAAATACTATTGCACGTAGCCTCTTTGAAGTTGGCTTTCTTAGAAAAGGTGGAACTCCATTGAAATTTGAGATTCCCTCTAACGAAGTGCTAGAGAATGAAACATACCGAACTCCTTCTGAAATTTCTGTAGTATTTAAGCCAACACTAGAGCAATCATGTTGTGCCACAATCGTTGCAAGAGAATGGACTAGATTGTGCACTTTAAAAAATAACGTCGAGTCGAACTCTTCAACTTCTTGGATCAAAGATCTCTTCCACAACTCGTTGAGATACTGAACACCAAAGTCTTCCAACGATAGTTCTTCCCCTGTTAAACTAATGAGTCCTAAACCCTTCCATAACCAAGCTAACTCATGGCTATTGATTTCACATGCTTTGCCAAAAAGAGATAATGTGGCAAAACATCGTTTTAAGTGGGACAGTAAATGATCATAGCTAAGCTTAAGTACCGGAAGAATGTCATTTTCTTCTGCCACTAACTTCCATGTCTCGCTATCTCTTATACGTGCCCAATACCTTACTTCATCCTTTGTATAAACTAGACTCCCCAAAGTTTTCAAAAGGAGAGGAACTCCTTGACATTTAATGACAATGTCATTTCCAATGTCAAGGAGGTCAAGACGTGGTTGCTTTTCCTTTTGATCGAACGCCCATTTTTTGAACAAGGCCACGGAGTCTTCATGAGAAAGACCTTCTAGATTATGTGTTGGATGGGTACCCATTATAAAAGCGACTTTTGAATTGCGCGTTGTCACAATTATCTTGCTTCCACTGGCTCCTTCGATCAGCAAAGCTTTCAATTCTTCCCACCTACTACGATCATCGCTCCATACGTCATCCAAGACTAGCAGAAATTTCTTGTCTTTGATGGTGTCTCGCAGAAATGTTTGTGATTGCTGAATATCAAGATTACTCAAGCTTTGACCAGTTGCATCTTTGATGATACCGTCAATAGTTTTTTTTAAATCAAAGTCCTCAGGTACACACACCCATAGTCGCAACTCGAATTGCTCTTTCACACTGTCGTCATTGTAAATTAATTTAGCTAGGGCCGTCTTACCCAAACCTCCTATTCCAACAATAGGAATCACCGAGAGATTTTTGTCATCTGGCAGCATCAATATCTCAATTATCTTTTGTTTATCAACATCTCTTCCGACGACATCCAACTTGTTTATGAACGAATAAGTCATCTTTTGTGATCGCAAAGGCGCCACTCCACTGTCAGCACTCCGCACATTAAGATTGAATTGATCCTTTTCGATGGAAATTTTAGATAATGTCTCCCTAATCTCCTTAATCCTATGACTGATTTTTGCACGGAGAATTACCGGATTAGAGAGGGAAACGAAGCGGTGTACCTTCTCTAAGACGCCCCCGTACCGACTAATTACCCGCTTTCGTAAGGCTTCGCACTCGAGTTCATCGAGCACATCCTCCGCATCGTACAACACATCTCGAAGTCGACCAAGCCATTGTTGCAGGCCGTTGTTCTTCGCCTGTTGCTCCTCGGCATCTAACAGCACGGCTGTAATAGCAGCCACCGTATTTTTAAGCTCACGGATCTGATCTTCGACGCTGTAAATTGCGACAGCTTCTTGGAACACCGGCGATGCTATCTTCCCTAGCACACCCTGTGCGATGCTGAAAAGGAGTGATTCAGCCATGCTAAGTTATGGGGAAATTGATTTCAGGCTATTTGGTTTTGAGACGAGTAGAAGGGCACACAATGTCTTCCTTTTGTGAGTTAGCTGCTATGACGACGACTTCCTTACAGTTGGATGAAAGGAAGGTTCCTTCCTTACGAGCTGGCCGGCAAGTCAACGGAAACGTGCTATCTACCTTTCCTTTGTCTTACCTAACCAGGAATGAAGACTTTCGGTTCCACCGATCAGATAGCTACCGTTCTGTCTTTCCTTGAAAGAGTCGTCCCAAATAATTTGAGGAGAAAAAGGATGGGCTACCCAGATTCACCAAGAAACGCGATAAACTGATACTAATTCTAAATTAAATTAACAACTAAATAGCATGCACAGTTTAATGATAATTCGATGCACCTTTGCTAGAATATTTTCATGAATTAGTTCACTGGAAATTACAAAATCAATTATAAGTATCTGACTACTTGTTGACACCTAAATTTTGCCTACTCATTTAAGGTTTAATTACATGAAAAATTAGGAATTGATTTTTAACCCCTAAACAAAAATATTTTCCTTAAATTGCATGACATATAGACATTAGGCACATTTGCATTAATAGGGCCTATTAGGATGCAAATTAAAAAAAAAAAAAAGATTTCCTGGTCGGGTTTGCCGGCTCATTCTTTTTCTCTCCCTATTTTATTGCGCACGGCCCATCTTTTATTCTTTCCTTTTTATTGTCGCGCGGGCCGGCCCTTTTCCCAGGGCCAGCCCGTGAACTATTCCTTCTCCCCAGCGTTGTTCAACGCTTTGGGGGGAAGGAGGGACAGGACAGAAGCCAGAACAAAAAGCAGAGGGGCGGGGGGGGGCGCAGAGGCAGAGAGAGAGAGTTCCGAGACCGAGAGTTCCGAGAGAGACAGAGAACAGAGACAGAGCAGTGAGGGCAGGTTGATCAACGGCAACTTTGAGCTGAAAATAGAAAGAAAGAGAGCTGGCTTCGTTGACTGATCGGAGACCGTTTTGGAGGGACACCAAAGAAAGAGGACCGGCGGGAATCTAAAAGGAGGAGGCTTGGCAAGAGATACGGGGGGATAGGAGATTGAGAAGGAAAAGGGAGAACAGTGGAAGTTACCGAGAAGAAAAAACAGAGACAGGGAGGAGAGAAAAGAGAGAAAGAGCTCGGCTTGATAGAGGGGTCTTTCTTCGACGAGAGCGTTCCGGTCCCTTCCCGGTGACCAGCAAATCTCGTCCCCCTCTCGGTCGCTCACACGTCACCTTGAATCATCCACTTAAACGAACGCCTCTTTTCGAGAGCGTCCGTTTTGGTATCAAATCATCGAAGAAATCGCGCTTAGTTGCCGCAAACGAGCAGAGTCAGCTGCGCATCTCGTCACCATCGTTGATTCCGTGCCGTTCACGACCAGGTAAGACTCGCGCCTCCCTTGTTTTTCCCTCGCCTCTCGGATGCCGGGCACATCGAGCCTATTTCGATGGTCGCCCGGCCCCCATTGATGGATATTCGTGCTTGTTTGATACTCAAAGAAGCTGTTTTAAATGTTTCACACCGAGAACACGCCATGAGTTTTGCTAAAATCGGATCTGTAACCCCATTCCTCGGTTGTACCGCACGTGTTTGATAAAGTGTCTCAGTGAAACAGTTTAAGCTTGGAGTGTCAAATCTGGTCGTGGTGATTTTTTAAAAGTCTTTTTGTAAAATGAAATAGCTCTTTAGTGTAATATGGTTGTTTAGAACTTTACATATCACATTTGAGCCAAAAACCACGTTCACGACCAGTTTTAAGCCTTTATCCGAACTCGCCTACCACTTGTTTGATAAAACGTCTGAACGAAGGCCAAGACCAATATCACCAAGATCCGTCTATGTAATCTTCATTTTATGCTTCGTTCGAGCTTGGATTGATATTTCGTGCCTGATCTGGTGTTTTTCCTGTGTTTTTATGCCACTGTTCGTGCATCGTCCGAGTTGGTCTCACATACGCATCCTCCCACCGGAGAGATTTTCCCGCATCGACGAAGCCCACGGCTCGAGGCCGCCTTAGCCAGCGTGTTCCTCCTCATCTTTAGCGTGCATGTGTTGGTTTTTGGCTGTTTATTTTGCTAGAGCGGTGTTTGAGTTGGTATGTCTCTTCGGTGATAACGGTGTCGCCGGAATCGCTTCGGTGATAGTCGGGTAGTGGCCGTCGGCGGTGGCGCGACGACCGACGAGGGGTGGCCGTCGACGTTGGAGGTCGACGGCTGGCGGTGCTTTTCGGTGGCCGGAGGTGAAACTCCGGGTGTAAGAGGGAAGCTCTCGGGGAAAGGGGTACTGGGAAAGAAAAGAACGTGCATGGCAGAAGTGCATGGCAGAAGAGAAGAGGGGGAGGAAAAAGTAATAAACAAATAGAAAAAGTAAAAAAAAAAAATCACAAGAAAAGAATAAAAAATAGAAAAGGAGTGGGAATGCGGATCCCGAGTCAGGTGTCGGGCAGATCGGGTCAGGGGACCCGGTCCGGAATTATTATATTATTAAAAATATTAAAACATTAAAAATTCAAAAAAAATTCAAAAAAAATTAAAAAATTCAGAAAAATTCGGAAAAATTCCAAAAAAATCAGAAAATTAGGAAATGTTTAGAAATCAGTTTTGGGCTTAATTTCACTAGATTTTAGGTTAAAAAACTCAAAAAAATGAAAAATGAGAAAAACCCTCTAAAAAAAATTCTTAAAAATCGGATAAGCCATCAGGGCTTTATCTTAGGGCTTTTGATTGCATTTTTTTTTTAGAGACGATGTTAGGTCGCTGGTTGTTTATCGTCTTCATGATTATCTGGTTGCGCACTTTTAATATATTGATTGTTATTTTCTGTTTTTAGAACGGTTAGGTGGAATCTTAGTTTTTTCGATAGACTGCCCGGTATGTTAGGGTGCGAATGGTAACCATTCTGCTCCAGAAATCAAATTCTTGCCAGAAATTAATTTCTGGAATTCTTGCTAGAAATTGATTTCTGGAGGAGAAATCTGTTTGGTAAAACATGACTAATTCTGCTCCAGAAATTGATTTCTGGAGCAGAAATCTATTTTGATTTGTTGATTTTTTTTGCACCTAAAAAATTTAAATTTTACTCAAAGTGGGTGGCCACATGTATTATAAGCCATTCTGTAAAGTTTTGAAATTTTTGATTTTTTTTTAATTTTTTTTTGGCACCTAAAAAAATTTAAATTTCACTCAAAGTGGATGGCCACAGGTATTCTAAGCCATTTTGTGAAGTTTTGAATTTTTTTATTTTTTTATTTTTTTGGGCACCTCAAAAAATTTAAATTTTACTCAAAGTGGGTGGCTACAGATATTCTAAGCCATTCTGTGAAATTTTGAAATTTATTTATTTTTTAATTTTTTGGGCACCTCAAAAAAATTAAATTTCACTCAAAGTGGGTGGCCACAGGTATTTTAAGCCATTTTGTGAAGTTTTGAAAATTTTTATTTTATTATTATTTTTCTTTTTTTTGGGCACCTCAAAAAATTAAAATTTCACTCAAAGTAGGTGGCCACAGGTATTTTAAGCCATTTTGTGAAGTTTTGAAATTTTTGATTTTTTTGGGCACCTCAAAAAATTAAAATTTCACTCAAAGTGGGTGGCCACAGGTATTTTAAGCCATTTTGTGAAGTTTTGAAATTTTTGATTTTTTTGGGCACCTCAAAAAATTAAAATTTCACTCAAAGTGGGTGGCCACATGTATTTTAAGCTATTCGGTGAAGTTTTGAAATTTTTGATTTTTTTTTTATTTTTTTAAAAAAAATTCACCAAATTTCATATTTTCCCGAAATCTGACTTTTTTTTTATTTTCTGGAAATTTTTATGAATTTTTCTAGAATTTTTCAAATTTTATGCATTTTCTGAAAAAAAAATTTGTGAGAAAATAGGGAGAATACATTCCGGAATCAAGAAGCTACAAAAACTAGCTTTATTTTTTTGGCCCAAAACACATTCTGGAAGCAAAAACTCATTCTGGAACCAAAAAAAGAATGTATTTTTACCAAACGCGTTTTTGCTCCAGAATGCAAAAATTCCTCCGGAATGCGTTCCGGAAATTTTTTAACAAACGCATTTCTGTTCCGGAATGCATTCTGGAGCAGAAATTTTGCTCCAGAATGGATTCCATGCGCGCCCTGTTTGCGGAAATTCAAGTTTAGGTATCGAAAGTGCACTAGTTAAATCGCTAGTGTAATCAAGTCTCCGAATTTTAGAATCTCTGATTTTCGCGCGTATCGAGACGACACTCCCGCGTCTCGATCAGGGTTTCTAGCTGACCATTGATTATGGCTAGTGGCGAGTCCAATCGAATGCTTAAATTAAAAAATTTCTCGTCGGGCGAGATATGAGGCTTGGGAGTGCCTCGGTCATTGGATTAATGAACCATTTGGTTCACCTTTCAAACGAACCAATCGTTGTTCATATCCATCGACAAATACCTCTTGGCCTAAACCCGATCTTTGGCGGAGGGTAGGTCGTGACACTACTGTACTTTTTTCACGGTATCAAATGAACATGAACATTCCTTAGCAAAAAACTTTTATAATTCAGGCTCTGTTTGTTTCACGGAACATAAATAATTCGGAAAACAATTTTTTAAAACTGATCGCTTGTACCGTTCGAAATAATTAGCCAATGAAAAATATTTTCATTATTGGTAATAATTTATCTGAATATTTTCGAAAATGATGAAAAATATTTTTCGTTTATTTATTTCTATAAATAATATAAGCGATCATTTTTAAAAAAATATTTTTTGAAAAATTCATTTGTCGTGAAGCAAACGACACTTTAGTCACAGATGTTCATGCCAAAAAGCCATTTTGCTTTCTGTTTTGCTATGACAACTAGGAAAAACATGCGCCAGCCAGGAAAGTCCTACTAAGTCATTTTTTTATCTCATTAAAATTACGCATGCAACAAATTTTATGTATATTAAATTTCCAATCAACTCATTCACTTATCCTCAAAATAACATTAACCCACAAAACCCGAACTCGCACTTCGCCGGAGAACGTCGTTCTCCGGTGGGATTTGGTGGATGGAGGGGACGGGTTGATCAAGACGGTGGGGGATATGCACGGCGGTGAGGAAGAGAATTTGATTGATATCGACATTTCTCCATCTAG